ATTGTTTATGCTTTGCCTTATCTGCCTTATCTGTTGTGAACTGCATATGCTCGTTATAACTGTTGCTTGTGTCTGGCCTTATCTGTCGAGTCATTCCCGGTTTTAAAGCTAGAGTTCGTAGGATATATCCTCATGCTCAAAATGGTTTTCATATATCTATATATATCTCTATATGTATTGTAATTCAACGCGTTGGAGTGGGTTACCAGCATCTCTCGCTGAACAGATATATTTGGCTTTCAGGCACAGAAGACTAAGTCACTGGAGCGCGCTAGAACTTGGAGTTAGAACTAGATAGTTTCCCTTTGGCCTGCGTACCACGTTTATGTAATTACGTTTCGAAGATACTAGTTAGTTAGCCTGTGCACTTGGGTTCTCTAGCCCAGGTGTGGCATAGCACCCCGTACGCTTGTATTTATTTCTTGGGATTTAATAAGATTCTACCTTTGATATGAGTTTTTAAATGTCTTAAAAATCTGGGGTGTTACAGTGTGTGTACTTAAGGTGCGCCATTTTAATGCTTAAGGTGTGTCTTTTTGTGTTAACCGCACGGGAAGCTATATCTGCACCAGAACTCATATATATATATATATATATATATATATATATATATATATATATATATATATATATATATATATATATATATATATATATATATATATATATATATATATATATATTATGTTTAAGTTCCAATGCGGGTGAATGCTTCCCGTGCGAGTGATTAATGTGCGTGAGTTTTGTACTTAATGTGCGCGAGTATTTTGCTTAATGTGCGCGAGTCTTGTGCTTAAGATGCGTGAGATTTGTGCTTAATGTGCATGAGTGTGTAGTACTTAATGTGCGTGAGTTTTGTACTTAAGGTGCGTGAGTCTTGTGCCTAAGGTGCGTGAGTTGTGTGCTTAATGTGCGTGAGTGTGTACTTAATGTGAGTTGTTGTTGAAAGTTTAAAGTGCATGAGTTTTGTGCTTAATGTGCGTGAGTTTTGTGTTTAAGGTGCGTGAGTCTTGTGCTTAAGATGCATGAGCTTTGTACTTAATGTGTGTGAGTATGTACTTAATGTGAGTTGTTGTTAAAACATAAGGTGTGTGTGTTTTTTTGCTTAATGTGCGTGAGTTTTGTGCTTAAGGTACGTGAGTTTTTGTTCTAAATGTATATATATATCCAAGATCCAGTTCGACCTGCAGGTCTAATATTAACGTGCGATTAGTGTGGTCCACCATTACGTATGTAAACACGCACCAATGTGGTAGGAAATTCACAACAACAACAAAATGCACCAATGCACCATTACGTACGCATTACCACAAAACGCACCATTAGGTATGCATAAACACATCATACAGTGTTCGGAAACACACTATTAGGTGTAGAGAGGTATGGTGCATTTTTTTGGGTGTGTGGTGCATTTTGTGGTGCATTGGTTGCATTTCGATCACTTTTGTGCCCATTCTAACACGATTGGTACGTTTTTACATACTTAATGTTGCGGCCGCACCGACCGCACGTTAAAGCATGGCTGCATTCGAGTTGATATATATATACATATACATACATATATATATACATATACATATATATATATATATATATATATATATATATATATATATACATACATATATATATATATATATATATATATATATATATATATATATATATATATATATATATATATATATATATATATATATATATATATATATATATATATATATATATATATATATAAGTGTAGGTGTGGGGCGGGGATACCTCCCCCGCACCCGGCCCCATTCCCATACCTGCGTGGGTATACGAAATTCCCCTATCCCCGCAATTATTACACAAATTATACTGATATTTTAAAACTCGTAGGGACGAGAATTCGAAGAACTAACCTACACTACTGAAAATTATAGAATTTCCGACCACCTGAAAGTGATCTTAATTAAATCAAGTCGAAAGCCTTGTTCCGACCACTTTTGGTATCCGGAAAAATTTTTGTTGCTATTTCCGACCACTTTTTTGCTTCCAACTTGATTTAAAATCACTTTCAGGTGATCGAAAATTCCATAATTTCCAGCATTGCTATAAAGTGTGGGTAGAATTGGCATGCCTATACTTAGTGTCATCCCCTAATTTCACCGTGCAATGTTGGAACGGTATAACCGAATTATTGCACCATAAATATAACATCAACATTCATATATTACTAATCTATCTTCTTACATTTTTTTTTTTTTTGAAAGTATCTTCTTACATTTTTAATTTGGTAGTTAGATTATGTTTACTCGTACATCTTGTTAGAAGAATTAGTTAAATGGCATTTAAGTTGTATTTTGGTGCAATATGTTAAGCCTAGCTAGAATAATATTCAATTATTCTTTGTTCTATTTGTGCTTCTATAGACTAGTTATGATTGAATAGTGGTCACAACTTCCCACTATTTGCTCTCTGTTATGTACTATATATAGGCTGTATTTCACATCAATAATCACAACTGTTTAATGCTCACATAGCCTTTACATGGTATCCAGAGCCAACTATCTCCTACGAAAGTTATTAATTTAATTTTTTTTCTCCCTGCTTCGTATCAATGGCTTCATCATCCAGTGTTGCCACCAATGACGACATTCTTCAAATCACTGCTACATCTCATTTTCCTATAAAACTAACCACCACAAATTCCCCAGTATGGAGGCGCCAAGTACCGTCCACACTGATTGGCCTCAACCTCTTTGGTTACATTGATGGTTCTATTAAGGAACCAGCCAAGTTTTCTGATGCTGCACAAACCACCACGAACCCGGCACATTCAGTTTGGTTTTGCCAAGACCAAATTGTCGTCAGTGCTCTTCTAGGGAGTTGTTCTTGACACAATTCAACCCCTCATCGCTTCAGCTGCAACAGCTCATGACACGTGGCAACGTCTCGCTACAAGCCACGCTAGTGCCTCCCGAGGTCGAATCATTTCCCTCAAGGCTAAGCTCACCAAAACCCCGAGAAGTTCTCTGTCAATTACCACATATTTAAATGACATGCGGTCCATTACTGACGACCTTGCGTTGGAGCAGTCCCCTGTATCTGATGAAGACCTGGTTGTGTATATACTAACTCAACTGGGTGAAGAGTAGAATTCTATCATCTTTGCCATTCGCGTACGTGAAAAGCTCATCTCTTTGGGAGAGTTAGCCGATGTGTTAACAGACAGTTACAAGTTGTGTTCTAATTTAATTTTTTTTTCTTAATCGAGTGGATGGGATACCTCGAAAGACAAAGCACTACTGACATCCACGTTGCCTAGTCACACCTATGGAGTCGTCAATGAGCATCTAAAGAACCACACGGTCTCCGGTTGAGCCATTACACTTAAGCCACGAGGGTCGCCAAGAGCTTTCTTTGCCGCCAGTCCGCCACGACATTTTGTTCCCTATGGACATGCTCGATACGACATTTTGTTCCCTATGGACATGCTCGATACGCACTTACCAATCCTTGCCAAGCCACCTGTAAGTGTACAAATTAGTACACATTAGATTGGCTAATTTATTAGTTTATTTTATTAATATGTAATGTTAATTAGTATGAGTTGTAATTTGTATTATTGGACCAAGCTAGAATGTGTGGTGGAGATTTATTCTAATGAGTTGGACAAAGAGCAAGTCTGAAGATCTCAAATTAAAGAATGTGTGGTTGAGAAGAATTCAAGCCACATATGAAAGCTACAATCAAGGCTTGGTGAAATGGAAATTATGTACAGTATATAAGGAAAGGAAAACGAAAGAGGAAGTTGGCAATTCTGAAATTCTGATCACATATGCAAGCTTCCTATATTATTGCTTTAATATTGATTATATTATATTTGTGATTTAATTATGTACTTCAAATCAGTACCTGTGACAGCTGAAGTGCTACACACCAAAGATGGTTATGGCATGCACGGTTCAGTCCTGAATAGGTGTTTTAGAAGAGTTGTAGTGGTAAAGGCTGTGAGCCGTTTGTAGTTACCTCTTGTAATACTCTGTGGTGAACATCTAGTGGATTGGGCAGACGTGGGTTGCCCCGCAGACATAGGAGAAGGAGTTCCGAACTGCGTAACAATTCTACTGTGTCTTTACTTTATTTATGCTTTCAATTTCGTTATTTATACGTTGATTAAATTGATTTAATTAAACAACGAAATTGTCTCGCAACATAAAATCAAGTAGAATCCTTAGTGTTAAATTGATTTCAAGATACACGGGCTTTTTCACCACCGCTTACCCTCACTGCTGACGTTCGCCACATTCCCATTAGGAGCATCACCCGCGAATATGTGTTCTTATTTGAAGTATTAAAAAAATGTTCTTATTTAATCATACACTATTATAATGTATTTAATCCTACACTATTATAGGATGTGTTTGGTTCATGAGTTTTCACACTAGTAATGAGAATCAAAATATGTATTGTTTGGTTGATAACTTTTTAAATACAACTATGAGATTTGATTACCCTTCAATTAAGAACCACTTTTCTTAATTAAAAAAAGAATATCACTCCATCTCATATTGGTAATTTGATTTTTAAGTTCGGATAATTCTTTTAAATTTTTGTTTTGATTTTTTGTTCATATTGATGCTTTAAATGTTATTATATTAAGATTCATTGCCTTGATTTTTTATTTTTCTATTTTAAAACTATTGTTTCCATAATAGGGTTATACATAATCAAACATCAATATCGGTATCAGTTTTAATTTGTAAATTTTTAATTTATAAAGTATAAATTTCCGGATAATATAAAATTTCTCAAACTTTAATTTGCCAAATTTTCAAACTGTGATTGGTAAAAAGACAGCTAGCTTAGCACAAGTGGGTTTCCTGGAAATTATTGAAAGTTTCCTTAGTCAAAAATATGTATAGTACTTCTGCACCCAATAATGCATTGTTTGTATTGCCTGCCTTTATTATATATATACATATATTCCAGCTTTGGCAACCAAAATATAGAAAGGCAAAAGTTGAATCAAAATGGGTGATCCTTGCACAATGCTGCTGATGATGGGCAGTAACTCAAAATGTATAGAGAATGTTAGAAGAATGCTGGAGAAAAACATTTCGCCTATGCCAATTATTGGGCTTTACGTAGCAATCGCTTCAGTGTCATGTGGGTATGCAATTATCTATAACTCAGTTTTTATGTTTTCAAGCTTACTCCCTACTAACTCCTTCTTATTCGTCAAGTTTTTCGATTTGAATGCAACTTGGCTGACACTATTAGCTGTGGCTACCAAGCTCACTGGAGACCTCACATCTCCCATGTTGTCTTACAATGATAACTTCTCAAAAATCAGTAGCACACTTTTCTTAACTGTGGCCATGGGTCAATTTTTCACCACACTGGGCTCTATGAACGGCAATGATATGCGAAGCAATGTCATGGCTTTGAGCATATTGGTATTCACCATCCTTGTAGATTTATGCATCCAACTGAGAACTGGTGTACTTGATTTCTCATTATTTCCAGAAATCATCTTCGCTCTTGTTTTGCTATTCTGCATGTTCATAGCAATTGTGTGTTCAGCTCTAGCACTTCCAGCAATTAAGAAACACGCAGAATCAAAGCATCATATGCTAGTGAAACAGATGGAAGCAACAGCTGGGCAACATTCACTTAATAGAGTTGAAGAGCTGAGATTGAGGGTTACAAAGTATTGGGTGATGGCAGCATCTGGTAGCCCTCAATTTCTGATCACAAGGTTGCCCACTTTCGTTTTTACAAATATCATCACCCTATTTTCTGCACTTATTTCTATTCTAGGATATATTAGAAGTTATACTACGGAAGCATACTGGATTACTTATTGTCCTTCTATGCAATCTGATTATAAGTGGTCCGTCTCATTGATTATACATTCTCAGTTGATTGCGGTGATGCTGCCTGTCTTCTTTGCTGCAATCTTATTGACTACTGTCATGAGTTATAAGTATGAGGACAATGGGATCAAAATTTCCAGAAAAGAATTCACAGTTGAGCCCTATTGGACTGAAAATCTAGTAGAATGGTGTCAGACTCCAATATCTATGAGAATTCTAAGATATATACTGCCCACAAAACTTTTTCACGATACAAAAAGTTTGATCTCAACTGTCTGCATGCTACATCAGACTTGGGTTGTCAGATTTATTAAGTTCTGTTGTGTTGTTTCTTTCTACGTCTGGCTTCCATTACTATTTTTAGTTAATCTTTTACGCAAACTATTGTCACCTGCGCATCAAGTATCAAATGACCAAATGAGAGAAGAGATAGCAGACCTCAGCCACTTTGTGATACTTCTTGAAGGAGAAAAACAATTGCCAAAACCATTGATGAGGAAAATCATTTGTGTGGTGAATAGTCATATTAAGTGGGGAAAGAATCAACCACCACGTAGTCTACTCAATCTTCTCAAACAAAGTTTCTTTTACAAAGGTGCAATACAATTTGACAGTAGCCAAGTTCCGAGTCTATTATCAGAAGAACCTCCTCATTGTTGGACACTTCCAGTGATGACACTCACAACCATTGCCGTTGCACTTCCAAACATTGCAAATCAACATGTTGATGAGCTTGTAAGATGTGTTGATGAAGGCCTCCGATATGCAAGCTATATAGATGTGCTGGACGAGAAGCATGTGTTGAAATGCATTAAAAATGCTGCAAGTGTGGTGTGGGTGGGAGTTAAACTTCATAAGAAGTGGTTGGACAAGGATCTTGGGGATACAATTAGGGAAATTTGTTCTACCCGGGAGATTATTCAAGGTCTTGCTGATGAAGCTGAAAGAATTGTCAAAGAGTTCAGTTCTACGAGAAGCCAATACCTTGTCGAAAATCCTCTCTATTGGCCTTCAAATGTTTTAGCTGCTAATTCAATGTACAGAATCAGCCGGACAATTCTTTTATACTATGGGAATGGTGAGTACCAAGCTGAAGAGTTGTTTAGAAAATTAATTTGCATGATTGCAAACATATTGACAGCGTGTCTTATTAATTTGCCGCACCTGATAGCTACCAAGTGCATAAACAATTCTCTTGAAGAAAGGTTCAGAAGTGTTGATAATGCAGCTATCCTTTTTGGAGAAATTGAAGATATTCTGAAGTTATTTGAAGAGCGGCAATTTTTAGGAATTGGTCCAAGTCAGCCATTATGCATTGATGAATGGCTTAGATGGATGGAGTGTGAGACACAAGATCCAACAGTTTCAACCTCATCAACCGACAATGGCGCATCCTCTACTGTTGAGTCCAATGATGAGCTTGTGATTGTTCCAATGTAATTTATGTTGATGTGTGCTTCTAATTATATTTGTAGATGTTGTTTTATGCTAATTTAGTATCTGTTATGAAATATATATGTTGCAATCTTGCTACCTTGTCTGTTATTTTCAACTTACTACAAAATACAATTCTATTTCTTTAATTACTAATTGCAAATTTGTTACAATCTCATTAGTTTGTATGGTTACAGGATAATCAGTCAACGTGTCAACATATACCATTTTATTTTTTGAAAAGTTTGACCGCATCGGTCAACAGGAGCCATTCTAAATAAATAATTTTAGAATTAAATTGCAATATTTTACCAATTTATTATGAATTCTCATTGAATTTTTTTATTTCTTCCAATTATATATCTGGCTTTTTTTATTTATTTTTTTTGAAAACCAACCAGAAAAAATTTATTAAATCATGGTCGAAATACAATCAGGAGGTGTTAGTAACCACTCTCCAAGGACACAGGAAGAACCAGCCACCCTCGCTAACGTGAGAGCGATCTGATTCACTGACCTTCTAACATGGCGAACCCTAACGTTCCCCATGCCTCTTGCAGTCATAAGACACTGCTTAACAACAGAGCCAACATATGATAAATCAGGCTTAGATGAATTGAAACTATTACAGAAACTGAGACTATCCGACTCTACTATATAACCAGCCGCTGGACGATCTTTAATTCATGCCAATGTTTCTTTAACAGCCAAAGCCTCCGCTATATACGGATCATTTCCGCACTGCAACTTCCCACTACGAGCACCCATGAAGTTGCCGCTATGGCTTAATTGCACTATTATTTATATCGCCTAATAAAAAAAGCCCAAATGCTTAAATGTGGTAAATTATATCATAGACTAGGGTCCACCATGCATTATTAATCTTAGTCTAAAATGACTTTCATATTATGTGTCTGTAATTAATTATGTCTTTGTAAATAAATTGAAGGCACATAACTAAGCTAGTTAACTATATGCGCATAATATGTTAACTATCGACATATAATATCGCAAGTTAACTTAACATATTATGTTCCTTGCAAGGTGGACTAATTCATGGTATAACAATGAGTAAAAGACAATTTTGGTCCTAGACTTATAGTGGCACGGACAATTTTAGTCCTTCATACAAAAATCAGACAATTTGTGGACACTCTTATTGTGACGAAGACAATTTTGGTCCTCCATCTATATTTCTGTTAAATGGCAGTTTGAGAGGAGGACAATTGCGTCAAAATACAGCACATTTCACCTTTCGGTCCCTATCCATCACAATATCAGCGAAACAAAACGTAAACCACATCAGATCTATTCCTACAGCTAGATGCCACCTACTGAAAACAAAAATCACTCCAACAAAACTCAAATGCACGAATCACATCCCGCTACACAAACAATGAGAACAACCAGATCTCAAATTTCAAACGTATACACACAGAGAAACGACAGAACAGGGAGATGAAGCAATCGTTCCTGGCCGGCGGTGTCCCAAATCTGAGCTTTAACGACCTTGTCGTCGACGCGGATGCTGCGAGTGGCGAACTCGACGCCGATGGTGGACTTAGACTTGAGGCTGAACTCGTTGCGAGTAAATCTGGAGAGAAGGTTGGATTTCCCGACGCCGGAGTCGCCGATCAGCACCACCTTGAACAAGTAGTCGTAATTGTCGTCCGCTCTGTACACCCCCATTATCCGTACCTATTTATTGCGCTATACACTGCCAGGGGGTGGAAGAGTAGCTCTCGTCTCTCTCTATAAATGTGTGTGTATACACAGAAAGAGAGAGTGATGAATCTGAAGGACGGAAGTAGGAAGAAGAAGGGGGTGGAGGAGTAGCTATCTATTGCGCTGTACACTGGCAGGGGGTGGAGGTGTAACACCCCGAAATTTTGAAACTTTTAAAACTTATATAATAAAGGTAATTCCGCATTAAATCCCAAAATCAAGCATAAGAGTATGGGGTGCTATGCCACACCTGAGCTAGAGAACTCATGTGCACAGGCTAACTAACTAAAATCCTTGAATAATGTCAATACATAATCATGGCACGCAGGACGAAAGGGAAACTAGCTACTCTATGCTTCAGATCTCTAGCGCGCTCCGGTGTCTACTCATCTGTGCCTGAAAGCCAAATATATCTGTTCAGCGAGAGATGCTGGTAACCCACTCCAACGCGTTGAAATACATTATAGATAGATATATATAGATATACGAAAATTATTTTGAAGCAGGAATATATATACTTAAGAGACACTAGTTTAAAACCAAGAATAGACTCGACAGATAGGGATCGGCACATTCAACAGTTATAACCAAGCATATAAAGATACTAGCATATATCCTATGGTCACAGATTCACTTCATCCCTTTCACATCATCATTCAATTCGTATCTCATCACAGAAGCATACTTTGGTGGCGCCACAGGACCAATCGCATGCCCATACATGAGGGTCAGCGCATATAGCTCTGACACGGCCTCGCAGCACCCTCCCTCGTATCGCAATACAAATGGGTCGATCGCAACCGACTGATGAACCGCAGCTCATCATAATGTTTGATCACAACCAAACAGTGGACCGCAGCCCAAGAGTGATCATCTGACCGCAGCCAGGAATATGAACCGCAGCTCATGTAAAACGTTTGATCGCAACCAAACGGTGGACCGCAGCCCAAGAGTGTAATTCTGACCGCAGCTAGCTTCTTAACCGCAGCTCAGGAATAACCAATTTGATCGCAACCAAATTGGGGTATCATGCACACATAACACATAGCAAACACATGCAACCCACATTAACATATTGGGAAAAGGGAGAAAACGTATAATGAAACCTATGCGTGGTCATCCACACACTAGGAATAATCCTAAGGGGTTCATACTTTCTTTACCTAGGCCAACGGGATACCAATTCAACTAGCATGTGATATATATATACAAGACTCATTTATCCTACGAACGGTACCCGAAATATCAAACTAGACTTAGGCACGATAAACGGAGTCTGTTGGGACACCACGAGGGTCGGGGAAGCCGAAGTCCCAAGTTGGGCAAATTCCAATGGGTAGCCGGTGGGTGGAGGACCACCCGCCGGTGACAAGCCTCCGGGCAGCGGGTGCCCGGCGGGCAGTCGCCTGCCCGCTGTCGGCGGCGTCCTTTCTGGGCAGCGGGTAGGTGGCGGGTCCCCCTACCCCCACCTACCCCCCACTGACTCTTTATCAAAGTAAATGTCCCGGGATCCGTTGTGGAACCCGAAACCATGCTCAGACACTTTTAAACGCAATTGATGACACCACGTAGACAATTAACGGATCAAAAGCAAGAATCATATAGCACACATCCTATCATGATTTCTAAACATAATCAATACCCGAACATGCGAAATCCCCACCCAATTATATCAAGATTAACATGATACGAAATCCCCAATTTGATCTAGGGCTCTAATCATATTTAAATCATCAAAATCATAGTTCGTCTTTTAACATCAAGAAATGTCAAGATTCATCAAGAATATCACATAATCCTCAAGAACCTCTTATCATCATCAAGATCATCAAGATCACACATAAAATCATCTCACAATCATCAAGATCATATCATCAATATCATAAACGATTCATCAAGACACAAGTGTAGAGAGGAATCCAAAGAAGATAATTATAGCAAGGAAAATAGGTTTTGTTGAGACATGGGTTACCTCTTAGCCTTAATTAATTTCCTTGGCTATGAAGGGTCTTTCTTTAAGATTCCTTCTTTCTTGATTTCTCCTATGGGGATTCTTGGAACTTCTTGTGTGGTGAGAGATTATTGTGGTGTGAATTCTAAGTTCCTCCTACGTCCCCTATTTATATACCTAAGAGTCCCAATTAGGGTCCAAATACTATGGGCTTGCCAATTCTATTCCTTATAGGACTAGGGGATTGGTTTTAGGGATAAGGGCCCATGGACTATGGTAGGCCTTTTCCTAATTAATTACTGGGATTTAATTCTTTCTTTTGGGTAATTGATTAAGTGATTAATTGGTTTTAGGGGTCGTAACACGGGGTGTTACAGGAGGAGTAGCTCTCCCTTGACTCTCTCTATAAATGTGTGTGTATACACAGAAAGAGAGAGTGATGAATCTGAAGGACGGAAGTAGGAAGAAGAAGGGTCGCAACGTTTGAAGGAGAGAGGAGGGAGATCTACTCAAAGCTGTTTCAGTACAATTCTGGTTCCTTGCTTCTCAATTTACTTTGCTCTTGATGACGACGAGGAAGAGGCTGCAGAGCTGGCTCTTCGCGAGGAGGAATTCGAGCTTTGAAGTTGGAAGGAATAGCCATGGCTAATCTCATTTTGCACTTGTGTGGCTCTCAACCCTGCAATTGTGAGAAGGTTGAACTTACAGAGAATTGAAGTTTGGAGAAGAAAATAGTTGAATTGACGCAATTGCCCTCCCCTTAAACGGTCATATAACAGAAATATAGACGGAGGATCAAAATTGTCATCGTCACAATAAGAGTGTCCATAAATTGTTTGATTTTATTATAGAGGACTAAAATTGTCAGTGTCACTATAAGTCTAGGACCAAAATTGTCTTTTACTCGTATAACAATTGTTTAAACACTGAAAACTAGAGCAATTTTTATTTGTTAGGCATAGGCAATGCGTCTTCACCTTTCATGCTCAGAGCTATGCCGCCGTCACCAATGGACTTTGAACTAACTATTGCACGTTACCATTTTGGTTAGAATTGTGAAAACGGGCCTAACAATTAAAAAAAAGAAAACAGTGAATTCCATTTTTGGTCCTATTGTTATAGTGGTTTTTCCAATTTTAGTCCACCATAATTATTTTTACCACATTACGTCCACTATTATCAAAAGTGTTCCAATTTTAGTCCACTTTAAGATTTTTCGTGGACAAAAATTGGAACACTTTTAATAATAGTGAACGCAATGTGGCAAAAATAATTATGGTGGACTAAAATTGGAATGACCCCTATAACAATAAGACCAAAAATAGAATTCACTCAAAAGAAAAAGAAATCGCGGCCGACGCCTCGACCACGAGCGGTCGAGGCGACGCCTCAGCCACGGTCGGTAGAGGCAACGCCTCGGCCACGATCGGTCGAGGCGGCGCCTCAGTCGCGATCGGCCGGAGGCACGCGCCTCGGCTTGCCAACCTAGGCCGAAGCCCGTCTCGGCCAGCATAAAAAATAAAATAAAATCACATACTCAGCATCAACCGGGATTCTGCACGATATCAAGCAAATCCAGTCTTACTCCCTAGTCAACTCAAACACATCCGTAGACTCAGGAGTAGGGGGGACTGGTGACAGGATAATGGTGCTGGCACCCGACCCGGGTCATAAGCAGCATCTGACCCGACACCAAATTTAACCCGGCACCACATGGAAACCCAACGAGCAAAACGCCAACGGGCAGAATTGCAACGGGTGTCACCTTTATTGCCATTGAAGTCACCATTGAAGCCACCATTTATGTCACCATTGATGAGAGAGAATTAAAGGCTTAGCTCCCCATTTATGCTTCATGTTGTTACCATTAGCAGCTTTTGTATAAGTAGGGGCTCCACTCAGCTTGGAGGGACACGTGGACTATTTTGTACTAAAACACTTGGCAATACAACTATTGTCACTCTTCTACACTGCGTTATTCTAATAATATATTTCCGGTAACATATTTACCGTCATTGGTGCTTGTGGAAATACCCTGATCTTAAGGCATGGATAAATATCGGGATCGCCGCCTTGGATTCGAAGTCGTAGACATTATTGACTTCCTTTTTCCATTTTATTAGGAAGTCTTTGAGGCTCTCGTCTCTATCTTGCTTCACTACACAGAGGTGAGAGAAGGGTTTCTTACGATGTATGCTACCGGAGAAGTATGTCAGGAAGCTCTTGGACAGTAACACTCTGTGTTACGGCCTTCAATCCCGGATTAATTATTTAATTAATTCCGTTAATAATAATTAAAAAGGGATTTAATTTGGCTAGGATTCCCTTTAATTAATTAATGTTCGTCCACCATGGATCGTGGACCCTTGCCTAGACTATAGTCTTAAGCCTATTAGGAATAAAGAGAGTAAACCTTTTTACTAATCAGATTCTAATTAGGAGTCTTAGACCTAATTATCTATTAGAAATAAAGAAAGTAGGCCTTTACTATTCAGATCATGATTAGGATTCCCCTTAATTAATTAATATGGTCCACCATGGACCATGGACCCTTATCCCTAAACCAAGCCCTTAGTCCTATAAGGAATAGAATTAGTAAACACATACCATTCAGACCCTAATTAGGGCTCCTAGATATATATATAAGGACATAGGAGGCACCTAGAAGTCACACCACCATAGATATTACCACACAAGAATTCCCAAGGGACTCCCCACCACCAAGCCAAGGAAGATCAAACGGATGGAAATCTTAGGGAAGAACCTTAATAGCCAATGGAGGATTAATTAAGGCTAAGAGGTAACCCATGTCTCAACAAAACCTATTTTCTTAGCTATGATCTCCCTCTTAGGCCTCCCTCTATATTCTCGTGTCTTGATGAATTCTTCTGTGATAATTGTGTTATGATCTTGTTGATTGATAAGATGATTTATATGCCTTCTTGATGATCTTGATGATCTTGATGTTGAAAAGAAGTTCTTGATTTTGATATAATGATTCTTGACGAATCTTGATATTTCTTGATGTTAAAGATAAAGTATGTTCT